AATGTACTGGATTTTTCCTCGGTTGAGAGCCTAGCATCTTATTTGAAAACGTTGGATGCAAACAGCACCGCATACAACGAATATTTTTACTGGAAGAAACAATACGAGGTTCTCTCCACCACACCTTGGTGCAGATTGTGTGAAATGTTACACAATCAGTCTTTACCAAACAAGGTGTACTGGGATTTCGGCAGCTTCTGGGGCGTGAAAGAGAATTGTATGCGATTTTCGAATAAGATTAAAGATCAGATTTGATCCATCGTCACTCAAACAGGTAGTTTAGAAAGTGAGCTTACCACAGTTTAAAGAAACCGGGGAAACAGGGTGCGATAGAGAGCACTCGCCTTACACAAATGTGGCCAAATTTTTGCCCAAATTTTCGGACAAATCTTCTCAATATTGGTGATGTTACACGAGCCTAAACGTGACGCCATTTCTGTTCAAGTGGGCGGTTGCTCGAGGACAAAGCATAACACTCGTCTGTTCCGAACAATTTCCAATTCATCTTAAATCAGGTATATTTGTTTGTCGAGACAGGCCTCTTTTACTTTCTAGGTATTTAATATCATTCAGTCGGAAGTACCTGCTAGTTTTGGACAGGGGTATATCAAACGAATATCAACCAGGGCTGTCATTAAGAGGCGGGGACCGTGGATTCCCCCGGCTACTATGAACGTGGCCCCTGACTACTTTCATAGAAAAATAGAAGAAAAATAGAAAAAAAGAAATCTCTAGCTGTTTGATTCCCCGCCTACTTGATGTATTTCCCTGGGAACTGGAAATCTTAGTGACAACCCTGGGTATCAACTCTCGTAGGATTTCACATGAATATGATGGCTCGATATCCTTGTAAGCAATATTTGAACTAATAACAGAAACAGGAACTCCTAACTCCTAAAAGTGAGACGTACAATCGTCGTCCCGAGAGAAATTGAAAACAATGTTTAGGGAAACGAAGAGTATTGATCACTACAGAAAATACTATATATAATGCATAAATACCATGCATAAGCATTGTTTTCAGTTACTCTTGGGGCCATTTTAACGCCCAAGAGGAACTGAAAACAATGCTTATGCAAAATTTTGGAGTGATTAACAAAGAGTATTATGGTATGTTCTGGCCTTTTTTTGTAGTGGTCGATTAAGGCATTTTTCATGTTTTAGGGACTTTACCTCAGGGCTTCACGGTCAATTCATTTCGGTGACGTATCCATCTCGGGCTACGCATGAGCATTGTTGCAGAGGCAAAGATGGTTAATACGAGACCCAAACGCTTGTACTCGATTAAAAATATTCCAAGCTACAGGTGCTTTCCATTCGCCATGTTTCCGATAAGACACCTTGTTTGCCCCCTCATAATTTTGTATAACCAATATCTTTACTTTTTTCTTGAGGTGACTGTAATAATTACACGCGAAAAATTAAAAACAAAGGTCTTGCAAACTTCTTGGGGGCAAACAAGGTGTTTTATGGGAAATGTGTAAAAGGTGAATGGGTAGTCTGGTATGATGTGACAAAGATCTTGAGTATTGTAGGCCAGCCAGGATTACGGATGCTACAGCGGATTAAATGCCTGAACAAGCAATATGTTAAGTTAGTGGCATTATTGTTATTACAGAATACAGTCGATGAAG